CAACAAAATGCCTACAGCCTAGTGTTAGACCTTGAGGAAACACATCCCCAACACACAAGTCGACACCAAGACTCAAGACCTTCCTACCAAACTTTAGGTAGTCCCACTCCTCACCACTCCACTGCTCGGCCTACCCTATGAAACCCTGCCCGACCACCTTCTAGTCCATCCACACCCCATCCTGACTTTAGAAACAAGTCTCCCACCCCGGATACCTTTAGGTCCCACCCAAGGACCAAATGCTTTCGATGCCAGGGGTATGGGCATATCTCCTCTCAGTGTTTTATTCCCTACAAAGTCACTATTATTGATGAGATTGCTGAGGAAGAACCTGAACCAGAGGCCAACCAGATTCACCAAGTGGAAAACAATGGTGAATTCTTTGAGGAGGATAACAAAACTGTTGTCATCCACTGTATACAGAAAATAGAAATCTCTCCTATTTGCATGGTGAGATGCGCACTATTACAACCTGTTGCCACTGATGACTAGCGTAGGACAGCAATCTTTCACACCTAAACCAAAATAAAGGATGAGAACTGTAAAATCATAGTGGATAGTGGCAGCTACATCACATAAGAAGAGGGCCATATAAATAGGCCTCAAAATGACAAAGAACTCAAAAAACTAAAATGCCCCTTGGGCTACAATAGCGACCAAATACCCATAAGGGCAAAAACGGAAAAACATAAAATAAAAATAAACTACTACATAAAATAATGAAAATACAACTCATGCTCGTGGCCATCGATCTCCGGCATCGAAAATGCTGACGATGTCCTCATCATGGATATTTGACAATGATGTCCACATCTATGAGCGTTCAAACACCTGCATGTTTGAACATGCGTGCAAAAACATCAAACTTTTGCCATCAGAACCCCGGGTTAAGAATGATCCTAAACCTAATTCTGTCAAAACCAAGAAGGGAATGAATCTTGTGACCGCCAAGGTCTTGGATTCTTAGATTGCCCAAGGAGCTCCCCTGTACACCCTAGTTGGCCGTGAGGCT